TTTTTTTTTTTTTAAATAATGGATTTTGTGAACGTTCTACTTTGGCTCTGAGCTGTTTCTGCTGTTACAGGAGCTACATGTCTTATTTTTTATTAGCGTTTTAAGAACTCCTCACATTTGGCATCGCAGTCCGTCATCGTTGAAGCTCTCACAAAGGACAGTTTATTCTTAAGGATAAAAGTAGATGAGTCTTTTTTTCTCTTTTTCTAATTTTATCTGTAACATATTGGTAATTATAGAATGCTTTATTGTCATCAAACTTGGTGCATGACGACATTTAAGAAGTTTTGCATCAGCAGAACATAATTGAAAACTTTATGTGACTCTTTTGTAAGAATTCAACATCTTTTCTGAACAGACGTGTTTAAAGTTTGATCAGTTTTTTTCTTTAAATTCTTTCGTTGTTTTTGCGCGAATCGACTTTAAAGAGCAGCTAAAACTTTCCTAATTTGAAAACAATCCCTGTTTGTTTTTTAGCAGTTAGCAAACAACTAGTTTTTGTTTCTGGCTTCGTCTGCTCCGTTTATTTGAGCCACGCCTGACGTAGTCGACGACACCACCTAGTGCCGCGAATGGAAACAAGTCTAATGGGTTCAAATTTACAATCATGTGGACACGAGGCTGATGAAACCCGATTCAGGCGCTTTAATGGAGGTTCATGGAGGGTTTATGCAGCTCCAGAGTCACCAGTTTATTTCACACAGCTTTCATCCTTGTGTTCGCTTTCTTCACTGAACATCTTCTCCTGTAGCCGGAGACATAAACATCTCAGCGACCCAAAGAGAACCAGAACCGGGTTCAGTTTGTCTTTGTGATGCGGACCTCAGAGCTACAGCTGTGCAGATAAAAACTTCTCGTCAATCGGAGCTGGTTTCCACACAAATGATCCAAATTCCTGATTAAAGGGAGCTGAAGAATCATCGTCATACTGTATCGGCTGAATCAGTTCACCGACGTCCTCGTCGCGTCCTTCTCCTCCCATCACGGCATCCCTGTAAAAACAAACTGTAACGTACATTCCTCTACGAGCAGCAGGAGTCCGTGGACGGCCTGCGTCATCCATCCGTAACGCTACACTTAAAATGTGATGTAAAACTACTACACAGGGTTAACTTTGAAATCACATCTGCTGGAGAGTGTATGTTTGGTTATTCGCTGTTGTCTTGTGTTTTGTTTTTAGAGCCAATGATGTAAAAAAAAGAAGAAAAAAACAAACCTGTGTTCTGTAAATCAGTCTGTTTTTCTCCTCCTGCAGGGCTGGATAGAGACTTAAGTCCAGGTTTTGACAGCCTGAACCGTAAAGCTAGACGGCGCAAAGACGTAACCGAGACACCGATGTGGGAAGGTGTGAGCCGCGTCTCAGTTCAGGGTATTAAAGTCACTTGTTTTAAAGTTTACTCAGAATCTCAGTTTACAAAACGTTCCACGGTTCAACCAAATTAGAGCTAAATGCGGTTAAAGTTTTTGTAGCGTCTCCAAACGTACTCACCAAGAACTCCTGTAGTAATAATAATAATAATGATGATAATTCTTTGCCTTGTTGAATTGCACTATAATGGCCTTGTTCAGTACATGTATTATCAAAAATAAAGGTTTCAGTCATGGAACAAAGTCGTGGCTCGTTTTGATTTGTACTTTCAGATTCCTTTTTTAATCCTTCATGAGTTGTCATTTATTTATAGATAATAAATATTTAGCCAAACCCTTAAAAGACATGAAATCAGAGTACTTTGTGGGTTGTAAAGTTGTAAAAAGCTTCAGTTTCTGCTC